AAAAAAAAGCCGGCCGGCCGGGTCTATTTAAAAGTTTCATGTTATGAAAACCAAGTAATCAAATTTGTATGGCCTAAGGTGTATAGACACCAGATTTCGTACATTATGTTTGTATGCAGCTCTTTGGGCACTTGGTGAGACCGATTGTGGGAGGGAAAGGTGTTCTCAAGAGAGGCAGATATTGTTAAGTTTGGAATATTGTTTGGTTTTGATATCTGATAACCTTGTTTCCAGACCTGTTGGCTAGTGGGACATACTAATGCGAAGTGTTCTATGGTTTGGAATTCATTCTTGCACCAGGTACAGCTACCATCATCTGAGTTTACCATTCGCCTTAAGTGGTATCCTAGAGGGAAGGTAACCTAAGTATTTAAGTGAGTTAATCAAGTTCATGAATATTTACTACTTAATTGACTTTTGTTCATGTTAATCTAATGGCAAGTATTAAGAAATTTTATAATTTAAAGCGATTAAAGATTATCCAATTTCATGAATATTTACTATTCAAATTCATTTTTGTTCGCATTGATCTAACACGTAGGGGTATAAGGAAAATTTATTAATCTAAATATTTAAGTTATTAATCAAGCTCATGAATATTTATTACTTAACTAACTTTTTTGTTCATGTTAATTCATGGTAGGTATTAAGAAATTCATTAATTTAAACATTTAAAAAAATTATCTCACAAATATTTATTATTTAATTCATTTTTGTTCGCAGAAATGTGTGGTTTAGCTTTGAGCACCACATAAGTTATGCGGGATAAGTATTTATTAAGGAATTTGGTTTAATGATAGTTGGATAATAAGGAAAGTACAATCATTATGTTTTATTATTTGTCTATTTATTCCTGCACCTTTCTACTACTATTACTCCTATTTTATTAATCAAACGATCACTTTTATGATTTACAACATTCTTACTCTGCATCTGATTTAGATATAATATATTATTAATCCATATAGGCGAATATGCGGAGACATGCGGCAGTGGATTTAGTATCTCAAAAAAATTTTTTATAGAGTCAGATCTTTTGATAAAGAGAAGGTTACATAAACCACCTTTTTAAAGATACAAAATTGATCAAACAACATGCCTAAAACAAATGGGTTTAAGCAAGCAACATACAATACTATTAAATGAATTGTTCGAGTAGAGCTCTAACCAATAAAAAACAGATATGTTTTGAATGATGCTGATGGGTTTGACGCATAATTTTGCATAATTACTATATCTTTAAAATTATTTATAGCATAGGTTTAATTTATTAGGGTGCTATTGAGTAATTGTTTTGTACATTTAACTAATTAATATGAGATTTAAATTAAAATTTGGTGTCTCTAGCTAGGGTCCAATTCCACCGATTCGTCCATATACACAAAGATAAAGTAATAACATACGCTAAATTATCACAATAAAGTAATAATAGAATATTCCCATCAAAGAAAAAATAATACGCATAGCTATTAAAATATGGATAATGTTAATAACATGCATAAGTGAACCATATACTGTATATCACCAGAATGGTAAGTTCTGTAACTGTCTAATTAGAATAGTGAATTCTTTAACAGAATCTTTTACATGAAATTGCAATAACTCTAATACAAACTAACTCACTACATATTACGACTACTGGAATGGCGAGTAAGTTTGTAATAAAAATTTTTTATAGCAACCTATATGATAGAAACTATGATACTAACTATTTCAATTTTAACTACAAACTATAGTCACCAGAATAGCAAATTTTACTATATGGCTCATAGTAGAATTTATGATGCAAACTAACTCAACTTTGACTATATATCATAATATGTTTGCGAATTTGTAACAAACAGGATATTTATAGTACTCTATAATTTCTTATGATGGAAATTATGATAGTTATTATTGACCACTGCTTATAGTATTCCTAAAAATATTACCCTTATAATTAAGATTCGAGTATTATTTACTATCCTTACCAATTATAGTTGGTGGTAGAATTACTGAATTACGGCAATTACGGCATTTTACCAATAGTAGAATTAATTACGGCACAGCATCTAATTGCTGTAAATATTATATGCCGTAATGTCGTAATGCCGCAATTCTATAATTTCGTAATTTCACAATAACACAATATTTGATTAACTACATTTTTAAACAGAAACTGATGTTGTTTTTCCATACAAGCATTTCATTCACATTAATTTAGTTGGTAAGATAAAATTTATTTACATTATTTAAAAGTGTAAAAAATCTGTATAACAGAGGTGAATTAAAAATATTTTATGACTACAAAAGGAACTTAAATACGGAAACATACCATTATAATAAATATGACAAGATGAATTAAGATGTCTATAATGTGGAGCAACAAAGATGGCAAGTATAATTAAGGATACTGATGATTGTACAAAAGTATTTCAACTTAGAGCCTTTGCATATGATAATGGATTCTATTCAATGAACTAGATAATGTTAAAAGAATTGGAAAAGAAGAGTTTGGTACCTTATTTTCTATAATATTCGTTATTAATGTGCTATAACAAATTATTCAATGTTTTCAAATATTCTGTGTTTATTCTTTTTATATTTATATAGGCTCTTTTTTTACGATTGTTTACTTTTTTACTTTCGCTCATCATTTTTTAATCATTAGACTCACTTTTACACTTTTTTACATTAGCTCACCTTTCCACTTTCGCTCATCATTTTTAATCATATTACTCTTTTTTACGTTCACTCACTTTTTCACTTTCGCTCATCATTTTTAATAATTTTACTCTTTTTTTACGTTCGCTCACTTTTCTACTTTCACTCATCATTTTTAATCATTAGACTTACTTTTACTCTTTTTTTACGTTCGCTTATTTTTCTACTTTCGCTCATCATTTTTAATTATTAGACTCACTTTTACTCTTTTTTATATTCACTTACTTTTCCACTTTCGCTCGCTCATCATTTTTAATCATTTTACTCTTTTTTATGTTCGCTCATTTTTCCACTTTCACTTATCATTTTTAATCATATTACTTTTTTTTTTTACGTTTGCTTACTTTTCCATTTTTGCTCATTATTTTTAATCATTAGACTCACTTTTACTCTTTTTTTACGTTCGCTAACTTTTCCACTTTTACTCATCATTTTTAATCATATTACTCTTTTTTTACGTTTGCTAACTTTTCTACTTTCGCTCATCATTTTTAATCATTAGACTTACTTTTACTCTTTTTTTACGTTTGCTTATTTTTCCACTTTCACTCATTATTTTTAATCATATTACTCTTTTTTACGTTAGCTTATCTTTCGACTTTCACTCATCATTTTTAATCATATTACTCTTTTTTAGTTCGCTCACTTTTCTACTTTCGCTCATCATTTTTAATCATATTACTCTTTTTTTACGTTTGCTTACTTTTTCATTTTCGCTTATCATTTTTAATCATTAGACTCACTTTTACTCTTTTTTTATATTCGCTTACTTTTCCACTTTCACTTATCATTTTTAATCATATTACTCTTTTTTTACGTTCGCTCACTTTTCCACTTTCGCTCATCATTTTTAATTATTAGACTCACTTTTACTCTTTTTTTTACATTCGCTTACTTTTCCACTTTCGCTCATCATTTAACTTTTTTTTCCTTTTTTTTCTTTGCTAATCTTTTTTTCTTTAACTTTCACTAATATGAATTTTATATGAGTTACGCAAAAAGAAATAAAATCAAAAATTGAGTTATCTAATCACAAAATTGAAGATTTCCGCCCATATGTATAATTATTTAATTATCGCTTATAACTGAAGTGTAAGATAATTTGCTTTATTGTTACCGGTTTAATAATCACAAATATAATAAACTATGTTGTAAATTAAAGCTATATAGCTTAATTTATAGTTAGTGTTAGCTAGAAATAAATTTTTAATAAAATTGTTATTACGTATGTTCGTACGTATATACATAACAAATTCTATTTTCAAAATTCTATCCCGATTGATAAATAATTTGTAATCCACTAAAATACTAATTAATAAAAATTCTTTAGCTAGTAAATTTGCCGATTGTAGTATATTTGTTTAATCAGCATTCAAATCAATAAATTAGCTCAAATAGGCATTTCCGATTGAAGTCTATTTTAGGCTGATTTACGCCAAATCCAGAAGCAATCGGCAAACAATAATATTGTCTAATATCTTCAAATCAGTATCCTATCAGATTCAAATCAGGATGCCTATTGATATCTATTTGTCAATTTATCTAAAATCAGTAAACATGCTAATTTGCCTTTTTTCTACCTGTGTTAGGGGGTGGGGGTCAAGAAAAATTTTACCTTAGTTAAATTTGATTGGCTAAAATTTTTTATAAAAATCTTATCTAGAGGTGGGATAAGCTTCTGTAGTAAATAAATATTAGATAATAAATATCATCACCCTTATTTGGATAATCTATAACACTAATATTTGCTATTTTTTGTGAAATATAGTTAAGAAATAATACAAATAAAATTTAAACTTTCACTGTGTTGAATAGCATGGTTTTGAATGTTATTCAAAATTTTTAATTTTACTAGTGTTAATAAATAATATATAAAAAAAATGTATTAATTATTGTTGTGGTCGACATTGGTGCCCCGGGTATTCATAGCGCAAAGGGTCAATATCAGGTCATGATCCAATTTGCATGAATGGCATGATTTGGGTGTGCATGAGAATTAAAAGTTTAAAACATTGATTGCATGAGCGATGAGGTAGTATGTAATTATCAGTGACGCAAATAGCAATTAGTAATAATATATAAGGTATCGATCTTAAAAAAGAAAGAACCTAGCTTTTTTAGCTTTTGAGCTTTGTGAATAATAACTTTTATGCTTAGTGAATAAACCAATACCTGTGTGTATATATCATTAGTGGAAGGACCTGTACGATACATGGTCTTTGAAGAGATTAGCCAAGCAGGTAGAGATCGATAGTAAAGACTCACTAGTACACAGGAGTACCAGTATACTATATGACAATTATAGTTTATATTTTTTATTATATTTGTTTAGAGGTTAATTTCTGCTATATGTTTAAAAGATTTACAGAATAAAAATAATATTGATATATTTTAATAGTTTAATTATAATTAATTTTTATAAAATAATATTTTTGATAAAACTAGTATAAATCAATGGACCAATAGATTATGATATTGGTCTATTATAATCTATTGACAACTTTATTCTCAATGGACATGGTCCATTGCCAACTCTGCTTAAAGAGGTCTGACTGTATTATATTTTGATAGAAAAGATGTTAATATAGATAAATGTTTTGTATTTAGATTAGTAGAAATGAATCTAGCATTAGCATTAGTTAATATTATTTTGCATATTGTTATTTATATAATGATTATATTATAGAAAAGGATTATAAAAAATCTTTAGAATAGTATTTGAAATCAGCTGATAGCAGCAATGGTAAATGACCTAGTCATTTGCAAATTTTTCAAATGATTCCAGGCCATTATTGATTATCTCAATTTTGGATCATTTGGAAATAACTTGTAACCAAATGACCATGATCAATTAGAATGACATTTGAGGGCTATTTAGTTTATAAGCTTTGAAATAGGCTGAGTATTTGTATACTCAAGCCCAGGCTTAATAAAATTTATATGCTTAACCCAACCCATGAATAGTAAATAATATGGTCATTTGATTGAAATTTAAATAACCTAAATTATAAAATCATGACAAGTTTATTATGCTTATTTACGTAGGTTATTTGATATAAAATAATTTTATTGGTCAAATTACTCATATAAAAAGTTAACAAACTTTATTATATTTCTATTCGATATTTGTAGCTATATGTGTATTAAAGCCAAAGTCTTACTAAGTCAATTAATATTTATAAATTAAATAATTTTTTATTAATTTTTGAATAAATTTAAAGCATGGGAGTGAATTAATAAAACTTTTTTAGTTTATATGAAAATTTTAGAATACTATATCAATAAAACAAACTCAATTTTAACTATTGTGTATTACATTATTATATCACTCTTTTTGATTTAATAGGATTAATTGTTATGTGATTTTTGTAAGTTCTATGAGTTCCACAATTACTATATGGGCATTCATCTAAATTCATTATATTTTTAAAAACCATGTGTACATTTTTATTTTATTTATATTGGATGGATTTCACAAATATAATAAACTTAAGTGATTACTTATATAATACTCATGCATCTCATAAAAATCACAAACTGATCAAATCCAACTCTGTAGAAAAGAGCAATAATAAGCTCTATACCAAAATGTTTTACAGTAGTTCATATAGAAATTACAGTAATTTATTGCAAACTAGCTCAATCTTAACAAAATACCATATAATAAGTAAGTTTTGTAGCAAATTATTTACACTAACTCATGACAAAATTCGTAATAATTCTGATGAAAACTAACACACTCTTGACTACACACTGGCCAGGATCGACAGCCTGTCATAATCTATTTTAATTTTTGTTTCACCTGGACTATCTACTAGTCTATACCCAGAATAATAAGCATGTTTTGTAAGAGAATTTTATATTAACTGATGGTAGAAATTATGATAATTCAAATGCTATGAACTCAACCACATTTATTAGAAAAAAAAGCAGAGGCTCTGCATTCAATCCTGTAAGTATATAAAATCTTTATTTACATTTTTGAAAACAGTCATAGCATAAAATTTGAATTTCATGACTACAGAAGAAAATTTCGATTATGCCAATAGAAACCAAGCAAATTGTTTCTAGGTAAATTTTTTTAAAACTTTGAAATAAATATTTCAACAACTATTAAACTAAACTTAATAAAATTTTTTTATTTTAATTTTATGTAGTTATAAAATTAAAATAAAAATTTTATCAAGTTTAGTTAAATAGTTGAGATATTTTGATTTAAAATTTCAAAAAAACTCACTAAAAATAATTTGCTTGATTTCTATTGGCATCCCATTTATATACAAATATAGTAAATGAAATACATCTGATTATAATTAATATTTGAAATTTGGAATTTATTCTTTGTTTATTGATTGAGACAATTAAAGCATGTTCATTCTCTCATTTGACTTTATTTCCATTGACATCACCTAGCTCTGAAATTATTGAAATAGAAATTTTATAGCATATTTAAAATAAGCTATTGCATTTTAACTTCTTAGTAAAATTTATTTTTATGCAACATAAGAAAGAATATTTATTATTATTCTTTTCAATTTAAGTGGATTGGTGATTAGATAAAATATCTCAATTTGAATAAAGATATGACTTGATAGATACCATTTGATAGACTTAAAAAGTTAATGGTAATTGACACAAGTAGTACTACAAAACTCATGATTATAATTTTAATTCTAGTAATTCTATAGGAGTGTATAGTTGCATCACATAGTATTAATTATAAGAAATTAAATGGTTAAAATCAATGTGATATTAATTAACAAATGGTTTAGGATGTTACAAATAAAAATACAAGTGAAATGAAATTGGAGTGGTGAAACAATCTCACCGTTATTGATGAAGTTAGTGTTGAAATTGGTAAACAGATAAAATTAACTCCACCAGCATCTCTAATACCAAATAGCTGGACGGTGACCATAAGTGAGTGTACATCTCAGATTTGAAATTTGTATAAAAAGATGATGAAAGTGATTGATAATTAATAATTAATAATATAATTTATGTCTAAATAATAATGCTGATCCTTATTCCACATTCTATAAACATAATTTGAATACGCTTATCATTAGTTATAATTTATGTTCCTGACTTTGCATGAAATTGTCGCACAGTATACCACAGCGTAGTATTACATATGACACAGAGTTTCGATGCAAGCACGTACGCACGTACATGTAAATTAAAACTACATGTAGTATAATATAAAAGGTTATTTAAGATTTTATATATAAATCTAGACTTTTACTTATAATTATTGTATCAATTATAATTCTTTAATATTTTATATGAAAATCTCGATTTTTACATATTGTATACAATAATAATTCTTCTTTAAACTTCAAACAAATGTACAACCCTAACGGTTCAATAGCTATAGGATAAAATTTTGTAAAGACCAATATTATATTTCTTTTATTTAATTAACCATAAAAATGATTTAAATTATTATTTAAAAAAGATTTGAATAAAATTTACACCGATATAATGAGTAAATACTCTGCGAAAATCTTAAATTTTTAAATATTCTTGGCATACATCGGGAAAATTTTTTTATTAATATCTGCAATATTATGTGAAAGCACAGATTTTTACAGCATCGGAAAAATTTTTAGTGCAAATCTGCAAAAATTTTTAAAAAACAAAATTTTGCGAGAATTGTATTTGTTTTCTACCAGGTTTGAAGTTTTACACAGATTTGAAAATTTTTTATATAATATAAATTTTGAAAACCTATAAATGTTAATAATTTATACTAAATCTAGTATTATATCGTTATCGTAAAAAAGGTAAAGTTTTGCCCAGTGTCTCTAACATATGAGTGCTGCCAAGGGAAAAAGGCTGTTTGGACTTTCAATTATATTTTGTATATAGTTAGCCGTCTATAGAATATCTATCATGATGATAAATGTTCCATCAGCTAACTGTACACAAAATATAATTTAAAGTCCGAACGGCCTTTTTCCCTTGGCAGCACTCATATAAAATAGTATCCGTAGCAAATCGCGGGTCTTTGTTTACAATTAACATTCTTTGTTTTGCGTAATGACATTGCGCAGCTATCTAGTTATTCTTAAAAAGGTAAATAGACTGCAACGATGATTGGTACATAATAATAACGTTTTATAATTGGTAATATGGACGATTGATACTATCAATAAACAAACTTTATTGCCAATTAACTTTATTTTCGTTTTCTCAAGTCTAAAATCTCCTATAAGTAGTTTACAAACCGATTTACACTATTATTTATTAATTGGTTTGGGTTACATAATATTGTTTATTACTTATAATATTCATACTGTAGAAATTTCAGCTATAAAGTAAGTTACCTCTAGGCTTGGAATTCTTTTGAAGATAGAAACGATCTTTTATTTGTGAAATGTTAAACCCTTAAAAGCCCAATAGATAGTTTCAGTAGATGTTACACAGTCGAATTTATGTAAGATCCGTAATACCATAGAATAAACACACAATGGTTTATTGGCGATACGTATTATAAAGTCTAAGGAATTAAACCCTATGACAGGGACATAAATAAATAAATCTGCACATTAGCACGTACGTACGTGCATACATACTAGAGTTGCAGGTGAAACTAATCTTCAATGGTGCACCGATGGAAAACTAGAGTTATAGATGAAGCTAATCTTCAACGGTGCACCGATGATGCACCAGGTGAAACTGGTGAAATTAATTAGTTTCACCTGCAACTCTAATACATACGTACAAACGTACCTAATCTTTATGTACGCACGTACGTACGTACATAAGTACGTGCACACATACATACATATACCTAATATTCATCCTTAAATTTGTACATGTTGTTTGCATTATTTTCTACAAATTAAATTCAGAGAAAAATATATACAGCAATTATGTGAAGAAAAGGACCAATTGAAATATAATATTTTTATTACCTTTATATTATCAAAATCTAGAATTGCTAAAGTTTGGATTTGGATTATTTTGTGGCATTTTTATTAACATTATATAAGCCACAATTTAATTACGTCATCAGATTACTTAACCCATATAATTATGTTATTCTTGAATACTATTTATGGTAAATTAATTTCAGCTACCTAATTTAGATAAATGACCAAAAATTAAAGTTTATTAAAGACCTGTGCATACTTAATGAAGTACTATAGTAACTGATCATCCTGTTTGTAATTCAAATTGTTTATTCGATTTACTGTTATGCGTGAGAGAATTAAAACTAAATCAATTTTAATAAATACTCTGAACGCGAAAAAAAATTGTAGAAATCTTTTTTTTTCTTTCTTTGAATGATATGAACAATAGTTACATACAATAATTTTTAAAGAAAAAAAAACTTTCTTAATTATCTAACATTTAAATTTATACAAAAAAATAAAATAAAAAAATAAAATGTCAACTGAAGAAAAACGCGAAAATGATTCATATGAACTAGAAAATATAGACTATAAGACTTTAGAAAGAAGAATTGTTAGAAAAAGCGATCTTTACATGCTGCGTATGTTTTAAATATATTTAACAACTTTATATAATTAATTTCCTAGTCGAGTACATTCCAATACGTATATTGTATGTCGGCTTGTATTTTCTTACAAAAAAATTTTCTAAATAAATTTTTAATAGCTATATTGGCCATCACATTTGTCTTGGGTATCATCGATCTTGATAACATAGGAAATGCTGACGTAGCAGGATACAATTACATTTACTTTAATACTACTCCTTATAATTATATTTTTGCCGTATCAGCACACTTTATCGGTTTTATTATATTCGAAATCCCTTCAAATTTGGTGACAGACATTTTAGGGCTTCATGTTTGGTTGCCAATCTTAATGATATGTTGGTCAATAACGTCTATGACTCAAGCTGCATGTACAACCGTGGTTCAGCTAGGCTTTGTTAGATTTCTTATAGGTTAGTATTATATTAATATTGTTTGTACACACCCTAGTTAATAATAAGATTAGGTGTATCATGAAACCAAAAATAAGCTGTAACGCTTTAGATTTCAGAATTAAAATAAGATTAAAGGTAAAATGTGAACATGAAAATTCTTACCCAAATTTTCTTCGATTTCACGTTATACCGTGTGTTTTGTTGATCAGAGTAGCGCTACACACTTTAATCTTTTTAAACATCATTTCATTCTTTACATATAAGTGCTACCAAGGGAAAATGAGGCTTTGGGTTTTAAAAGTTGCTATTTACTATTTAATAGAAATCATTTCAAAAAAATCCCCGGATCAAATACTTTACCAGTAAACTGAATTCGGTAAATAATTGAAAATCCAAAGTTTCATTTTCCCTTGGCAGCATTACCATAATAATGATGCAAATCCTACAATGTTGATAACCTAATTCCTGTCTAAACAATAATATTTGAATTAATACAAACTAGAAAGATACATATCTATTAAATTTTTTGTGTTGAAAAAATAAAAGCTCGTAATTGTTTCGATTTCAAGTTACACTTGTTTTTAAATTCTCGGACATAGTAGCGTCACATTACAATTTTGCTAAATTACAAAACTTTAAGTTAATTCATTGCATTTTTTATTGATTTATTAATTTAGGAACGTTTCAAGCAGCATATCCTCCATCAATAGTAGCATACATTGGTTCGTTTTATTCTAAAAATGAATTAACTTTAAGGTATTCTGTAATTGGGAGTTTAATCGCCATTGGTGGTGCTCTTAGTGGGTTTGCTGTAAGTTATTTAAGTTCTAAAACAATTGACGTCACATTAAATAATTTCACTAACACTTTATGATATTTATTAACTTATTTAGTCATATTTCATAGTTCAAATATCTGGTACTTCATTGACCGGTTTTCAATGGTTATTTATAATGAAAGCATTCCAACATTAATTATGGCACTAATTATTGTTGTATTTTTGACTCGTGGTCCTGGAAATGCTCGTCTCTTCACTCCTGAAGAACGTAATTTCGCTATTGAACGTTTAAAATATGAGGGTGGTAACATTGAAATTGATAGTGATCTCGCAAAAGCTCAAGTAAAATTTGCCCTCACTGATATTTTAACTTATATTTACACAGTAGTGCTTTTAATTACTGCGATTCCATTCTTTGCTCTTAATTTTTACCTTCCAACTTTAGTTAATCAACTTGGTTATAATGATTTTCAAGCTCAATTAATGGTAGTACCACCACTTGTTATTTCAACTATATTTATGCTCCTTAATTCATGGTGTTCTGATAAGTATCAGACAAAAACTATAAATTCATTGGCCAATTTTTTATTATCCATTATTGGATTGGTGGGAATGCTAGCAACGCGCGCAGATGACCCTAGTTTATATAATCTAAGATATTTTTTTACTATTCTTTTGGCATGTGGGGTGTATGGTGTGGTACCGATAGTGTTTAGTTGGTTCTCCTGTAATATTCGTAAGTATATATATTTTTTTAAAAAAAAGTGCAATATATGTTAATATTTGGTAATATTTACTAATATTATCCAATTTTAATATTCTTAAAATTTTAAAACAGCTGGTCAATATAAGCGCAACACGATGACTGCTATAATATTAACAGCTAATCAAATTGGAGGTATCATCGGGCTTTCAATATTTCCAGCTACAGATGCTCCATCATTCATTATGGGAAGTTCCATATGCTTAGCTGTAGTGATTTTATCATCTATTTCAGTTATTGCGTTAAAATTTTATTTGGAATTATTAAATAAGAAACGTGATTTAACTATTTTAGCAAATCATAATTATAAGTTAAATGATAATGATTTGAAGGATAATAAAAGGATTAGAGAAATTGCTATGAAATTAGTGGAAAATGAACCAAAGTATGATGAAGTTTTGTGCGATAAACATCTTAATTGGAGGTATATTACTTAAAAGTATTGTTGAAATATATATATATATAAATTACATATTTAATATGCAAAGTTTACATATTGTTTGCTTTAAATTTTCATGCTTACAAAGTTATATATTATATTATAACGATTAATGTATCCCTATAAGTATAACAGAGCTTTATAGCATCTACATTGTTTAACCTATAATTTATCACAAAGACGATCTATCTGTGCAATATACTTTAATTCTTATTTTAATAAAATTGTTTCCCTTGATTTGCGGCGCATTGATCAAACAAAATAATTTGTGCAAATTTAAAAAATTCCGATTTATCAAATAAATTTGCCTATAGTATTAAATTCAAGTACAAGTTTACATGTGAATTGAGTGAACTTTTGTGGCAGATTATATGTAAAAGTGTAATGTACTATAAGGAGACAAAATCTTCCATTCGAGATTTTTGCTCATATAATTTTTGACCAATCTTGAGTCTGTTAATCCGACTATTTTTTAGCTCAGTCCGCTGGATTTATTATATCTGCTTATAAGTTTGGCCCAACTTATAAATGCAAAAACCTTCTAAGCAAAATTTTGAATTTTTTTACTATGGTATCTGTGGGATTCGGTGATGACCATACATATATACAGTATAAGGTTCCTACCGTAATAATTCAATGAAGTTGGAAGTTTTATTCTTAAGTTGTAATTTTTTGTCGTAATGGGTTAGAGATGGGAAAAATGCACATGATATCGCATGATATAAATTTTTTTGATTTTATATTTTCCCTCCGGAAAATATCGATTTAGATTATATTTAGAAACGTGGAAATGAATTTAGCAGTGGTCAATATTATTTAGCATTTTGTCATTTATGTGATGATTATGTTGTTGAAAAGGATTATAAAAATCTTTAAAATGGTATTTGAAATCGGCCGAAAGTCGGAATTCTGAAGCTCAAATTAAGGTTGCAAAATATTATATGAATAGTATTGGTGCAATTGTTGATAAATAAAAAGCTATTTTATATTTGAAATCTGCTGCAAGTGAAAATTCCGATGACCGATTTGAATTAATTGTTATGCATATAGCATTTGTACATGTGTGAATTAGAATATAGCTTTAGAATTATATTCAAAATCAGCTATAAATGGAAATTTTAATGCTATATACGAATTAGTTAAATGTAATGTGAATGATATCGGTATAATTGAATGGTATATGAAGTCTGCTAAATTGAACAATTCTGAAGCATTTTATGCCGTAGGATTTGTCATGAACATGGTTTAGATACTATAGTTATTAAGAAGACTTTGAAATGGTATCTGAGATACACTATATAAGGTAATAATATATTCCATCGATTTTTTTTTCGGGTGTTTTGATAAAATATATACTATTAAAATGTATTTCAAGCGCTTAGGTTTAGATTATTTTCTAAAAAACAATTTATTGATTTTAATTAATAATTATATAAATCAATTGATTAAAAGTTTTCAGAATATTAATTATTGACCAAATTATTATATCTTCTAGTAATTTTTAGTTGGTAGTGTAATAGATCCACTAAACAGTACTAATTCACTAAATAGTACTAAATAGACTTGAACATCATTATATAAGGAAAGCTTATTATTGTTATTGTTTTTAGTTTTGTCTTTATTGTAAATTAATGTGTACTTATTTTTACTATACATTATTTTATTATGATGAGTATATTAGCTGTGCGGTAATACTAAAAAAAGCCCATCGTGGTGCTGCGCCCCACTTGGTCTTTTTGAATGCTCAAAAAGCCCTATGGGCTTTTTTTAGCATTACCGCACAGCTCTGCTCAGAAACTCAAATATTTTATTATATAAAATTTGATCAACAAATATATTTTTATTTTAAAATTATAGTTTTATTTTTTTAATTATAAACCAATCAAATTAATTTTTGTTATCATAATTTTTAGACCAAATGGAATTATGATTTACAAATATATTGTATACTATAAAATTTAAACTAGTCTAATATAAATAAAATTTTTATTTATTATATTTTAATTATAAATTAAATAATATTTAAAATATATATTTTTTAATTTAGCAGTCTTGCCTTTACTGTTCATTAGTACTCTAAGGTATTGTGGTTACAAATGTAAATACATATATTTACAACTATCTAATTTATTACAGATAAGGCTCACTCAGTTACTAACTTAGTACCTATGTTCAACCTGCTATATGAGATTTTACCTCCTCAGTAACTGCCCCTTTTGACCAGACCAATTACTAAATCACCAGATGGTTCCCAAACCTATATTATCATATATATCCCACTTATATACTACTGTACAATATCTTCTAGCCAACTTCTACCCCTCAGTACTTATTACATTACTCCTAATTCATTTCTTGTACTACTTTCAAATTGGTGTCTCTCGAGTGGGCACCCTTGATGCTTCCAATTTGGTGTTCCTAGAGGAGTTACTTTATGGGCCTAGCCGTATCTCAAACAGTTAAGTTGTCAAATTAGGATGATATTTCACATCAATTCAGGTATTTGCATCGTACACTACCAAATTAGGCTACCGATCTTTCTATAGTACTCCCTATTAATATAGTGTTACAGAGGTTTGGATCCTTTGGACAGAAGTTAAGTACCTCATTTAATTACTGTTACAATCCAGTAACCTGGGACCTGTGTCTCTGCTGTGTTTCGTCATAGACTCCCATATAGGTTGTGTGACTATTACTCCTATCCTGTCTTTGTTTTTGTACCACAGATTGCCTGCTTCCATACTTTCGGGGTTTCTTTTAGCCGGTTTTCCTTGTTTCCTTGTGCCAGAGGTGTTCTATATTTGGTAAAGACATCCTCTTACCACAGCCCCTTACTATCACTAGTCAAAAGCTGACAAATCAGGTACAAATCAGGTATGCTATATTTAAAGCTGATAACTATCTGATTGTTACCAATTTTTAAATTTGGCAGCCCGATTGATACTGATTTATGGTGAAAATCGGCACACTATCAGATATAAATCAGGTATTAATCAGAGCAATTTTTTGCAAACAACAGTATTAGTATAAAGGCTTGTAC